ACTCAATGTACCATTGGTTTGACTTTCTAGCATACTGGGGAGAAATAATTGAGGCTATTCATTTTGATGAGCCATTTGGAAAAAGTAGTAATGTTTAATAATTGTACAGAGAAGTTACCAGTTTTATGTATTTGGCGTCTGAAAAGCCTGTTAAATATCCCCACGACATACAACTTATTAATGTTTCTTTCTTTTTTCCCCCTTTTTTTAGTAAGGAAAGGTTTATTGGTCCAGAAGGCCTAGCTAGAGAAGATGGGAGAACTAATTCTCAAATCCACCTTAAGAGAATCTGGAAGTTAGGCATCTTTTATCGTCAAGGAGGGGCAAGGCAAGGGACGGGTACATAGACAAGGTAGGCATCAAACGGGACCCAAAGAGCAGCTGGAAATTTATAAATCCTTTTGTTCTTGCCCTCCACCCCTCAAATCTGAGTCCAGGTTCTAGAGTCCTTAGTTTGTACATATTTTCCTACCTCTTCACTAACAAAGGGGCTGCTCAAGCTTCAAGCAGAATTTCTTTAGTTAATTAGCGTATCTAGCAAGAGATATTCAAAGACCATTTGCGAGAGCAAGCATTTCACTCTTATGATTCCCCCCTTTTTGTTCATCCTTCAATCTTGAGGGAATTAGGGCAGCTGGGTGCAGGTTCAATTAAGAAGGAGGATTAGTTTATAAGATGGAGTCAGATTTGTCTGCACATCCTGCTGCTCTTAATCTGGCTTTTACAATCTCACATGCCCAGCCATAGGTGTGGGGATAATAGTTCTTCAATAATGTATTTCTAAAGTAGTTATATAGTCTCAAAATAGGTATCTCAATACTTTGATGGGACTAAAATTCTGAAAGAGCCAACATTAATTATCTTGAGTTTTTACTATGTAGAAAAAATTGAAGAACTCAGGTTAGTTTTAAAAAGTGAAAACATTGGTTATATACATTTCTTTATTTTCTCTAACGTTCTATTTAATTTTTAAATTAAAATTTAATTTTAATAGACAATATATTCACATGGTTCAAAAATCAAAGTAATATAAGTACACATTGAGAAGTTCCACTCTTATTTAACCACCCTATTTCCCCCTCTACCCCACATCCCCTACAGGTTAACTATGTTTATTTTTGTATATCTTTCTAAATTTTCTTTATGTAGATTTAAGCAAATATGAGTATAGATTCTTATTCTTCCCTCTTCTTTACAAAAAAAAAAAAAGGCAAATCATGTACACTATCCCACATCTTGACATTTTTTTCTCCTTCAATAATATACCCTTGAGATCTCTCCATATCACCATGTAGAGATTCTTCACTATTTTTTTGTAGAGCATAGTATTCCAATGTGTAGATTAAATCCTTTATTGATGGATATTTAGAATATTTCTAGTCTTTTGTTATTATATATGGTGCTGCAAATATATGTAATAAATACACACACATTCTCTCGCACACATATTTGTACCTTGTCCTCCTAGGTTCTTCAGCTGTGGCCTGTCTGGACAAAGGACAGATTAACAAGAAAAAAACATAAGTTTATTAACATATGCATCGCACTTGCATGTGGGAGCACTCAGTAATGAGTAACTCCAGGGGTGGTAGAAGGTGGGCTTATGTAGCATATTAAAAAGAGAACAATAAATGTTTAGAGAGGTAACAAACTGAAAAGGACTTTGAATGTCTGGGGTGGCAAATTGTGGAAAGGTTACAAATAAGGGCTAATTAGTAAAGTTTGTTACGTAGCTTCCACTGGTGCCATCTCTGAGCTGTTAAGAGTCTAGAGTGATCTCTGGTGATTAAATTCTGCCCTTCCTGGTAGGGTAGGAAGGGGGGACCCCTTTACAGATCTGTGTCCTGGGACCCCTTTACAAATCTGTGTCCAGCTGTTAGGCAATTACAAAGAGAAGAAAGAGATTTTCTTGTATTTCCTCCTTCTTAATGGCCTTCAGCTAAAAATAGTCCTTATGCCAAAGTGGCATATTTTGGGGTGACATACACTGCTACCCTTCAGCACTTTGTTGTATCTGTAGGATCATTTCCTGGAGATGGAATTGCTAGGTTCAAAAGATAAATACATGTATTTTGTTGGATATTGCCACATTCCTCTCCATAAAGATTGTTCTATTTTGCATTCCCATCATCCATATATGAGTGCCCTTTTCCCCAACAGATTAGATCTCTTTACTGTCTCCAAAGTTTTGCCTTTTTCAGAATGTCATATAGTTGGAATGTCATATAGTCTTTTCAGATTGGCATCTTTCACTTAAAAAAATATGCATTTAATTTTCTTCTATATCTTTTCATGGCTTGGTAACTTATTTCTTTTTAGTGCTGAATAATATTCTATCATCTGGATGTACCACAGTTTATCCATTCACCTACTGAAGGACATTTTGGTTGCTTCCAGGTTTTGACAATTATGAATAAAGATGCTATAAATACCTATGTAAAGGTTTTTGTGTGGACGTAAGTTTTCAGCTCGTTTGGGTAGATACCAAGGAGTGTAGTTGCTGGATCATTATGATAAGAGTGTGTTTAGTTTTGTAAGAAACTGCTAAATTGTCTTCCAAAGTGTCTGTACCATTTGCATGCCCACCAATAATGAGAGATCTGCAGCTCTATATTCTTGCTAGCATTTGTGGTGTCAGTGTTTTGAATTTTGGTCATGTTAATAGGTGTATAGTGGTATCTCATTTTAATTTGCAAATTTCTCATGACTTAAGATGTAGACCATTCTTTCATTTGCTTAACTTGCCATCTTTTTTTTGGTGGGGTGTTCAGGTCTTTGCCTGTTTTTTAATTGGGTGGTTTATTTTCTTGTTGAGTTTTAAGGGTTTTTTTTGTGTGTGTTTTGGATAATAGTCCTTTATTAGATAAGTCTTTGCAAATTTTTTCCCCAGTCTGTGTCTTGTTTTCTCATTCTCTTGACAAATGTAAACTTTTATAATATAAGGTTAACCCATATAGAAAAGTATATAAATTCATAAAGTATGGCTGTATGAATTCTAAGTGAACATGTTATTTCCTTATTTATCTTACCAGTCTTTTCACTGCTTTTAGTTAGTTTGTTTTGCCATAACAAACTGAATTTTCTCAAATGGGTACATGGAATCTCTTCTTTCAACTGAGGACTTAGCTTAAGTGTCAATGTCTTCCAAAATTCTTCCCGGTGTCTTTCAAGGCTTTAATAATTCCCATGTCCATTTTGTACATCTTTATCTTAGCGTTTAATCACAATCCTTATCACACCTGTTTTTCTATAGACTATAAACTCCTTGAGGACTAGAATTCTTGTTTTATGTATCTTTTTGTCTCTAGAGCTTGGAGCACAAGAGGTATATATACTAAATGTTGTTTAGTATGAATGATTGTTTCTTGAATTTTTGGTGCCTTTGATTTTACAGCCATTGCGATCTAATGTAGGTACTCTTCATTTATTATTGTTTAAGCAGCAAGTCTTATTCATTTCTCTTGTTATCCTGGAATTTCCTGCTCTTTATTAGTTCCCCTTGAGGATTGTTTTGGAGAAACATAAACTCATTTCTTGGGGCCTTTGTGAGAGTGTACATACCTTTCATGTGTTTTATTTCTTTCTTCATAATTGAGATTTATGGGAATGTTTTTATGTAAACAAATGATGCCATACTTACATCCTTTTTCTTAATGTTTTGGGGGTACAAATATGTTATAATCTTGTTTTACTTTTCTGTTTTTGTAAGTTTCTACAATATAATTTTATAAAAAACATACAAAAAGTGGGAGATAGTATAATGACCTTCCACGTACTGTTAATAACTCATATAGTACTTTAAGGTAAGTACTTAAAATATTATTAGAGTTGTACAGATTCCTAGAGACTATCTCGGGCTAATCCCCTACCTCAAAATGCAAGACAGTAATCCAGGTGCAATTTGAGTTCTCTATTCAGAGGGATTTAAACCTTGATGCAATCTGTTTCATTATTGAACCAATTGGATTTGTATACAGAGCTAAAATATGGTTCTGAAGAAACCCTGGTTGATTGTGTTTTAACAACTCTTCAACATGAGGCTTTCAGTTTATTGAAGACAGAAATTAGAGCTTTCTTATTAAGCTGACAGAATTAGTTTTACATGGCTTCTTAAAATAACTTGTACTAGTAAAAACTGATGACATTGCACATCTTAAAACTAAGGAAACAATTTCACTTTCTTTATTGATTTGTTAGTGGTTACTGACAGTCTTATGAAGGACCAATATTTAGAATTAATTCCAAGTTTAAAATGAGCATGTTTTAACCACATGTGGAGTTTTTACATCTTTGATGTTAAAATGGCAGTCAATAAACTGAAACCTGTTTGTTATGGTCATATTGCCTTTCAATTCTGTCCTCAGCATATCCAGTAGATGCTTCATTTATGAACTCTGTAAAAAATTTGTTATCAGAAATTGCCAATTCAGGTTATTTCATTAGGTTCAGAATTTGTCCATAGTAGTATCTATATGGTAATGTATGTGTCAATTATAATTTTATTATTAAAAAAAACAGCCCAGGTTATTTAAGTGATTCCCTTTTCAGCTGAACTCTTATATTGGTGATGGCTTTGAATGAAGAGTGCTTTCTGAGAGAATCTTTAAAAACCCCTAAACATTTCCCCCTAAATGTTCAAGTCGCTTAATACAGGGTGTCCCAAAAAGCTGTATACACACTCTTACCGCTGATAGCTCACTTTTGAAGATGAAATGTATTTTAACAAACACTGCCTTTATAATTATTCAAGGTGTGTGTATACACTTTTTTGGGACACCCTATATTCTGGGTTGATCATGCCCTATGCTGTATATGTATATTTACCACAACGAAAATTTTGTATGAAACATATTTGTTAGATATTTTTTAGAATAACTGAAGTTATACTTAGTCTATATTTCAGCATTTCCTTAGCTTTTTTATGCAAGATGAAGATTGTGTTTTATTCTCATTGATAGTTCAAAACTAGAATATAATGTCTCTCTCCTTAATTTCTGTAGAGCAGGTTGTTGCCCTGGATGCCCAAAATATTATAGCTGTTTCATGTGGAGAAGCTCATACATTAGCACTAAATGACAAGGGCCAGGTGTATGCTTGGGGTCTCGATTCTGATGGACAACTTGGCCTGCTAGGATCAGAGGAATGTATCAGAGTACCCAGGTAACAAAGGTGACCAAAAAAAGGTCTTTAATAATCTTTTATCATAAATTTATTATTAAATTATTCTGTATATTATGGGCATATAAGAGTTGACACCTAATTATTTCTCCCCTTTGAGTTCTGAAGTAATTACTAGTTAGGTTCTTACCTTTAATTTGGGTTGAGTGTTCCTTTTTTTAATATACTTTTGTTTCCCCCCCACATATCTTAAGAAGCCCAGCTATTGACATATTTATTAAATATTGATTGGTTGCATGTTTCTCTTACCTTGTTTTTTTAGTCTTTATTGCTTCTATTGAGTACAGAAGTTCCACATGCAAAAAAAAAATTCCACATGCTTAGTGTAAAAAGAATTCAGTCACTTTCCACTTTTTAATATAGCAGTGACCACAATTTAATTTATCTTAACCATTAAATTCATCATAAAATTATTTAAAAATTTTAATAATTAACAATGCTAATCAATGTTGTAGTCTTATAGATTTACATAGGACATAACCATTGTTTTAATATTAAAAATTGTAAGAGCATGAACATATCTGGGTAAAAATATAAAGATTTAAAGCAAAACATCCAATTTCTTTTAGATAGCTAAATAATACACTAACTCATGCTTAGTTTTTAAAATTGTACAATTTCTTGCCTCCTTACACTCTTGTTCTTTCTTCCTACTAATAGTTATAGGGACAAAAGAGAAATCTCCAGGGAACCAAGGAATTAAGCTAATTTTAGATTTATTTCAGCACTTTTTTAAGCCATTTAGATATTTTGTTTTTAATTTAAAGTTGATAGTTTGTTTTGGTTTAAGAAATACAATGTAACTACTAGGTAAGAAAATGGAGCACAAGAACTACTAATATATTTCAGAACAGGAACTCTTATCATTGTCAGAAATGAGTTTTGGGATTCTTCTTAAACTCGGAAAGGTAGCTCCTTTAATAGTAACCTTCTCTGTTGTTTTTTATCTTTAGTTTGACGTTTTATATTTGTTCTAGTAATGGACTGTCTGTTCAGACTGTTCAGATACATCACAATCACTTGTTTTCTTTATTGAACTTGTAACTAAATTTCACAGAACTCAACAAATTTCTTGCCCTTGTTTCTTTTGTGGTAACAAATACTTGGGGCCATAAAACAAACAGTATTCCCATTATGCTTTTAATGTCTCTTGATGGTGCTGTTGGGAGAAAATCTTTTTTTTTTTTAACTAAGTAAATTGAATTCTTTTAGTCATTTCAGTTTTTTGATTTCTTTCAGAAAATGGTAATTTGCAACCAAATGGTTATTGGCTAGACAGTACAAAGCATTCATAGAAACATAATGACCTCACGTTTGTCATATCCTCTACTGCTTTTATTTTCTCCCACAAGTAATTGTTGTAGATTGGGGTTTTTAAGATTTTTAAACTTTCGTGATTTTAGGATTGAAAAGGAACTTACATGTTAGATTTTCTGAGTTAATATTCTCAACCATGATTCATCGCAGAGCTTTCTAGTTTTCCCTTATTTTTATTCCACTGGTCTCTTAATTCTCATACTTACATTTTTGTTTCTGTTCACTTCTGGTATAAGGGATATCAGTCAGTAATCTGTAAATGATTAGTAAATGGCAAAGAAAGGTAACTGTAAGGAGATAATTTTTTTATTTTTTGTTAATCCTCACCCGAGGATATTTTTTCCATTAATTTTAGAGAGAGTGGAAGGGATGGGGAGAGACAGAGGAGAGAAACATCGATGTGAGAGGGACACACTGATTGGTTGCCTCCCGCATGCACCCCAACTGGGGCTGGGGATCAAGCCTGCAACCAAGTTATGTGCCCTTGACTGGAATTGAACCCACAACACTTCAGTCCATGGGCCGACACTCTAACCACTGAGTCAAACTGGCTAGGTCAGAGAATTTTATTATATGACAATTTATTTGAAGGTTGCCCAATAATAAATTATATATTTGTGACTTTACTACTTAATGAACCTGGATAGGGGACCTGAAAGAGATCTTACTTGAATCCTTTGCTTTAAAATTCTGTTTTTATATTTGTTAAACATCTATATTAACTTTAAGCTGTGTTGTTATTTTTCCTGTTCAAGCTCATCTGTTTTTTGTGGACTCGTCTGATTTGGTGTGACATATACATAGTTTTTACTGTTATTTTCATGTTTTAAAGGGCAATTTAGTACTTCAGTAGAAATATATTTTTATGAAAGACTGCCATAATTTTTTTATTTTTAAATTTCAGTACCATATCATTTTTTAGATGCAAGGCTTTTTCTAGATTCTTGGAGAAGTCAGCCAGCTTTATAAATTTCATGTACATTTTAAATAAAACATGTATAGAAGACAGGCGGAAACTCAAATATATGTAAACAGATTTTTAAAAATTACTGTTTATGATTTTCGTAAGAGTAATCAGAAATGTGAAGATTCACATTAAGCTGTACTTTCTTGAGAACAAAATTAAGTGGCACTTTAAAGAAGAACTTAAAACTAATAATAAGTTGATTATATTTGAAACTCTTACTAGTTTGCTAGTCTTTTTTTTTTTTTTTTAAAATATATCTTTATTGATTTCATAGAGAGGAAAGGAGAGGGACAGAGAGATAGAAACATCAATGATGAGAGAGTCATGGATCGGCTGCCTCCTGCATGCCCCCCACTGGGAATCAAGCCCGCAACCCAGGCATGCGCCCTGACCGGGGATTGAACCCCGATCGCCCGGATCCTGGGTCGACGCTCAACCACTGAGCCATGCCCGGCTGGGCATGCTAGTCTTTTTATACTTCTAATTTTGTTATGTTTTAAAATTATTACTTCTTGGAGAAAGACTGAAATTATTTAATATCAGTGGTCTTTGTAGACCTGGATTTTTGGCTCGTTACTTCTTTTTATGTAGGATATAAGTTATGCCTTTATTTAAAAAAAAATAAAGGTAAGCCTGATTTTACTCTCTCTTAGTTTAATGTAAGTGGAAATACATACTTTTCCATGCAAGCTTTAGAAAAATAATTGTTTGTACTAAAGTTGCAGCTTATTTTTTAAAGTTCTATTTATTGGACATATGCAATAAACAATTATGACAGAAAAGTATGATATGATCTGTGTGAGAACAGCTGTTTCTGGACTATAGAAATCAAACAGCTTGGTCAAAAATAAAATTCATATTCTTGATTTCACTCAGTTTTAAATATATGTTAAAATAGCTTTACTTGAAGACTTTACAAATTTTCTTGTCCTTTAACAGTGTATTCATTACATACATTTTGCAAGGCACTATGGTAAATGCCAGGGACTCCATGGGTATAAGACACATAGTCTACCTGTTATTGTTTAACAGTGCACAGGTAATAAAGGAATAAGTATACCAGTAATTAATAGTGATAAATGCCATGAAGGAAAAAACACACAGTGCTATGAGAATGTAGTTTTTGAAGTAGTTTATTTGGTTTGCAAATTGGACTTGATTAATTCCTGTTTTTGCATTGCTAGTGTTTGATTTTGCTAAGTGCAGAAAAGTGGGCATTTTGCTACCTTTTAAAATCTGAGGGTACTTTGGATCCTGCTAATTTGTTGGATTCTGCTAAATTGTAGCAGCATAACTTTCAGGTTTTATAGTTAAGACATAAATCCACTAAATAAAAATATTTTTAATACATAAATATGGGATTAGAGTAACTCATCTTTCTCCTGCTCAAAATTTGATTTGCTGAAGCTGCCTCCCGAAAATCATGAGTATCGACTCTCTGGTCAGAACTTGCTCCGGACTTTCATTTGGCAGAATCAGGTCAGGTGGCAGTATCAGGTAAAGGGAAATAATAAACATATTATGTTTCCTTCCCACTTTTTTTCTTGAAAACATTCATTCGTTAAAAACAGTAGAATGATCAGGTAAAGGGAACTGCATAAGAAAAACGTGGGATGTTTGATGCAGCTACTTGATTTTTGTAATGTTTTAAAAATTAGCCTTTAGAATCATATTGCAGTTAAGGAAAAATCAGAAATAGGAAGGAAAAAAAACTAAAAATATAAGGAAAAACACAAAATGATAGAAATATGACTGAACACATCAGTGATCATAATACATATGTATTGATTAAATTTCCCTGGGAAGGAATTAAGTTGAATATCACTCATTTAGATGTAAAGCAGAAGGATAGCCCAAAAGGAATAGATTTCATAATTTGTGAATTGGTAGCAATTCACATAATAGGAATGTTAATTGTTCTTAACCTGTTAGAAGAGAACATATATTAAAGTAGGCCAAACATCAATTTTAGACAAATTAGATCATGTACATTTGTTTTACAAATATGTTGCAAGTTTTATGTGTTAAGCTTTAAAAATTTTTTTTTATATTATGATAATAAAATTTCTAGATTGTAAAAGCACCCTGAGGGCTATTTGAGGTATGCACGTAGTTTACTTAAATGTTGTCCTTTCAAAGTATTTTCTCATCACATTTCTTTTAATTTTTTTCATGTCTAGATTTTGTTTACTGACTTTAGCGTACATTTTTGTTAAATTGGGCATGTGTAAAAAATAACAAACTGCTAGGTTGGTAGGAAACTACTTGTGCATAGTAGGTGGTCAAGAAGTAGCACGTAAAAATAACATTCAGGATCCATTTATTAAATGGAATTAATTGATCCTGATCTCTCTTCTTTTCTAGAAATATTAAAAGTTTGTCAGATATCCAGATAGTACAGGTGGCTTGCGGTTACTATCATTCACTTGCACTTTCTAAAGGTAAGCACTGTTTTTATTTTATTTTCCTTTTTCAGTTTTATTATTTGATATTCTAATTGAGCAGAAAGTCCTCCAACTTTGTTCTTTCTTAGGATTGTCCTTGTTCTCCTTGTGTGTGTGTTTTGTTTTTCATTTCCATTTCCATTTTAGAATTAGCTTGACAGTTTTCACAGACACACAAACTACTGGGATTTTGATGGGATTGCATTGTCTCTATAAGTCATTTTGAGGAAAGTCTTTACAATATACACTGTCTTTTAATTCTTAAGTGTACTATATCCCTCTGTTTTAATCTTCTTTTAATTTTTCTTAATAGTATTTTGTTGTTTTCTATGGAGAAGTCTTACACTCCTTTTATTAGACTTTTCCATAGCTATTTGATATTTTGTGGTTGTGAATGGTGTCATTGTCACATTATATATTGCTAGTTTATAGACATTTTTGTGTCTGATTTTTTTCTTTAGTTCGTTAAATGCTATTCCTTCATAGCTGGGGAAAGTTATAACTTGCCCAATCTTACTTGATCTTACAGATAAAGTTTTTATTAAAAAAAAACAGAGAAAGTCAAGATTCCTATTAGCTTTGTTTGCTTTCCTTTCTTATTCATTTAACTTTTCATGTACCAGCTAAGGATTGTAACTTGGGTTAGTAAAAAATCTGCCATATGCTCATTTTTACCATTAAAAAATTAAGTTCCAATGGCTTTATTAATATTATATTATTTTAATTTATTAAATGTCTAGTGAGTCCTACTATGAGTGAAGCACTAGGCTAGAGCTGAAGGGAAATAAAATAAGAGAAAGTTTTAGGGACCATACCATCTAATGGAAGAGACAGATATACAAATAAATAGCTATAGGTTAAGGAAGAAAAAATACATATTACTTTGGACAAAATAAAAGTAAAATACTAGAGAGATAAAGAAGAAAGTGTAATTAGTACCAGTCAATAAAATTAGTAACAGTAAGGAGGGGATTGGTATTTGATGCAAGTCTTGAAAGGAGTAGAATTTAGTCATAATTGGAGAAATGTTTAGAAATAGCTAGGGGAAATGGTGAGGATTGGCTAAGATGGTACTATTAGTAAAGGCATAGACTCAGGAAAGTATTTTGTTTGAGTATTGACATGTAGTTTTATGTGGGTATTGTGAGAGCATGGGAGACATATTGATACTTCAGTTTCAACTGAAGTAAAAACAAAAATCTGTTAAAAGGATCTTAAATCCCATATTCAGGAACTTAAACTTCTGTAGGTAGTAGGGAAGCTGCCATTCCTGTATTCTTTATTGTTATTTTGCCAACTTCTCTTTTGATATTTTGGTAGGTAGAGCTAAGATAAATTTAAACCCAGAGGTTTACTGTTGAGGGCAGTTTTCTATCTTAACTCATTGGTAGGTGATCTTTTGCCTTGTTCAGGTTTAATCTTAGCACAGCATCTTATTCATTGAATGCATTTTTTTTTTATTATCACTTAGTGTGAACCAGGCACATTAGAGTGTACAATATGCAGTGGTAAGCGGTACACTACTAGCCCAGTCACACAAATAACACTGTAATTACATATTATGAAAAAAGACTGTAAAGAAAAAAGTTTAGGGTATTTGGAATATGTAACAGAGAGACTGAACTGAATCTGGGAGATCAGAGAAGGCTTCCTGCTGAAGAGAGTGGAAGTGAACTAGACAAAGGCGGAGGGAACAGCAAGTGTTTGAGAAATGGACATTGGAGAATGTAAAGGAAGGTGGGTATGGCTAGAATATAATGAGGAAAAAGACTGGAAACAGATCACACAGAACCTTATAGGCCTTGTTAAAAGTGCTTATCCCAAGAGCAGTGAGAAGGCATTGACATTTTTTTCAGGTGAGCAACATTATCAGATCTTCATGTTTTATAATATTTCTATGTATATGTACAAATGTTTGCTAGTATGTGCATAGAATATTTCTGGAAGTACGTATCAGTAATTGATAAGAGTAGTTGTCTTTTGGGAGAGAAACCAGAAATCTAATTTTGGAGGGAGACTTACTTTAAGTGTGCCCTATTTTATAGAATTTTTAAAAACCAGTTGTTAGTGTGTCAGTTATTAGTTTAGTGTCATTTATTTAATAAAAGTAAATAAAAAGATGTTTGAAGTTGCAAAAAAGGTGGCAGTTGGGGGCAAAAGTGACAGGCAGACAGAACTATTATAGGAACCAGATGAGATGGTGGGGAGTGGATCTATTTGCCATATTTTTCCTTAGAAAGAAAACTGTATATAACTTGGTGATAGATAATAGATTGATACCAATCTCTGTATAAGGTAAGAGAGGAGAGGAGTATTAAGGATGACTTTATGTTTATGATTTGTGCTACTGAATCAGTTACAATGTCATTTACTGAGATGGGGAACACTGGGAAGAGCCCAGGTATGGGAGGTAGAGTAAGAGTCATGGATTGAGTTTGGGCTTCACTGAGCTGGAAGTGCTTTGAAATATCCAAGTGTAGGTGTCAGGTAAACAATTGGATACATGGGTTTTTTGTTCAGAGGAGAGGTCTGGGCTAGTAATAAAATTTTGAATGTTACCAGCATATCGTTGATAGCTGAAACCTTGAGCTTGGATGAGCGCCTCTTGGGAGAAATCATAGAATAAAAATGAAACCAGAGAAATATTAAAAAGAGATGGTCCTTCCCTGAGGAGCATAAAGTTACGTGACTTATCCATTTGTCACTAAAGTCAGTCAGCTTAAAGTGTACCAAATATAGAATGTTCTTCTAGGTAATGCTGTGTTTCCATATACAAATAAACTTACTAAAGGGGACTATGTATTTCCATCTGATGAGAGGAAGAACATCTCACAATAACTGATGATCTTCAAATGAAACTTGTGTGTGAGAAAAATCATTAATTTTATGATTTTTGTTTTACAGCAAGTGAAGTCTTCTCTTGGGGACAGAATAAATATGGCCAGTTGGGTTTAGGCATTGACTGTAAAAAGCAAACCTCACCACAGCTGATTAAGTCTTTGATTGGAATCCCTTTCATGCAAGTTACGGCAGGAGGAGCCCATAGTTTTGTGCTCACCCTTTCTGGAGCTATCTTTGGATGGGGACGCAACAAATTTGGTCAACTAGGTCTTAATGATGAAAACGGTAGGTTCTCATTACTATAGATACGCTTTTAAAAAGATAGGATCTTTTGAGATGGATCAGTGATTCTTCGTGTCAGAGAGAAATCTACTCAAATCTTCCCTGACAGGGAGGTGGGGATGAGAGATTAATTTAAAAATTCTATTTGATAATAGTTTTAGGGAATGATGCAAGGCCAAAAATATAACACTTTATCATAAAATAAACTATAGAAAGTATAACTGCACAAAAATTCTTTGTTGTTGGATGTTCATGAAAAGAGAGTTGAAAGGTATTACTTCAAATTGGTAAACACATTATTGGCCAACATTGGTGGAAAGAAGCAATAAAATTATTTTGGAAAGTAACATGAAGCATTAATCTATTTGAGATTTTCCAGGAAATATTTAAATAATCTGAATCATTAAATTAATCTTCAGTTTTAACATTGATGCTAGAGACTTGAAAATAAACATTTTGAATTTAAAAAATTACAACTACTTGAAACAAGTTGGGATCTTAGAATTGATTTTTCATAACTACATTAGGTTGAATGCCAGTGTTTGAAATACAGAAACTAATTGCAGGAAGTTCAACATAATTGTAATGACTTAATGGACAAAAGTGAGTTGTTGGTCTAGTAACAACTGGTATTGATAACTGAATAATACTCTCAAAAAGAACTTTAAAATATTTTTTTCTGCATAAGAAAAATAGGGCATTATATCTCTTTTCTGCTAGAAAGTAGCAGAAAGTATAATTTTCAGATTTTTAAAGTAGGATCCTGTGAGCTTAATTATCATGAGGTAAATATAAAGTATGGGTATGGATTAGTCAAATAGCTTTGAAATTCCTTGATTGCTGGTTGGCATTTAAGCATTTTAGCCTTTAAATTAATCTTTTTAAATCCCCCCTTTATCACTGTAGAATAGAAAGGCCTGGGAACCCAAGTTACTAGGCTTGTAGTACAAAATCATTGAATCGTGGTTAAAATTATTTAGTCATCACTGTCCACTGAGCTCGGGAAGCTATAGAGAAAACACAGTTTAGAAGAATTTTAATTAAATATTGTTAACGTCTCTTGTTGAAATTTTCAGATAGGTATGTTCCTAATTTACTAAAGTCACTAAGAACTCAGAAAATAGTTTATATTTGTTGTGGAGAAGATCATACTGCTGCACTAACCAAGGTATTGTACTCCTATAAAACTTCTTTATTATTACTTATAGAAGTTATTTCATGATTAATGAATGTTTTCATAATATGTACATTAAAACTTGAGTGTTATTGATATCTAAAAAATAACTTATCTTGGAAAAAAGGACCTAGATTATTTGTTCTCAAAAACAATCTACCTTAATTTTCAAATTTGTTCTGTGTTATGAAATGTGAATTGTAATCTTCTGTTAAATGTGGTGATAATATATATTGTTGAGTTTCTCAGCTTTGTGTGGAATACTACTTAGATAATATTTTGAATGAAAGAATTCCTTTTAAGTTTGTCAGACTTGCCATGTTGTGTATATCAATCCCACTTACGCATAGCTCTGCCTGTTTTAATTTAGCTCCCATTTGGCTAATAAATATTATATAACAAGCAATAGAAGATACTGAATAGAGGATATAACAAGTAACAGAGGGATTGTTATTATCCATAGCCCAAGTATTATGCAGTCAGTTATAGTGAGCTTTTATCACAATGTTATTAATGGCTTTAACTCTGACATCTCACTTTATTAGGTATGTGCCAATTCAGTGTCAGTACTGCGTGTTACTTCTTTCACGCAGTGATTAGAAGTAAAATGAAAATAAAAACATTAACCTTTACCAGGAAGATTATTTATTATAGTCATGTTTATATAAAGGAACTGGCAAGCTTTCATTGGCTAAATTAGAAATGAATGTTTTGCTTTGTTTTCTTTGTCCTGAATAGCAGATAAAATTAGCAAGAAAAAATTAACTTCTAATCAGACTTTATAAAACTCTATACACTCCCATATTGGAATTTTAGGATGATAAGAATTATTATTAGTCGTTATTAAATATAGCGTGCTCATTTGAAAAATATTATAACGACCAATTATAACAGTTAATTTCTAAAAATTTTATATTTTCTTTTAGTAAGGATGTTTTACTGTATCTACCTGCTGATCTTATTACCTTAGTTTGATTGTTATAATTCAGATTATAAATGTATTCACAAAAGTCTTATTAAATCATGTTGGCAAGTTATAAATTTTAATCATTCCCTTCTGTCATTGGCTGTTAAAATAATAGTAAAAAATATTTTGCATAAAATCATTCGTTGGGACTAACTTTGGTAGAAAGACTCATAATATTAATGCTTTTCAAATTCACCCTTTCAAATAATCATCTTATTCTCCCAGGATATAGAACTATTTTTGTTTATTGAGTTTTTAAAATGCCAATTCTGTTAATCTTCTGTATTCTTTTCTCTAAAAAGTAGTTGGTGATACTTATTCACTGGAGTTTTTGGTGTTTATTATTTTTTTTAACAAAATGAGATTATTTTAAATATCCCAAAAGTAAAATAGTTTATTTTGCCTTGATTTAAGTTAGGATATAGTTCTATATCTATACATCTTTTGCTTTTTTCTGAAAGAATTTTTTGCAAATAATTAAGATTACTTTTTGAAGAAGTTCCCTTGTGTAAAGCCTGCATTTGTAAAATTACATTAGAAACAATTTTAAAACACTTCTAAGAGCTATAAATAGGGAGACATGCATGTGATGGATATGAGGACACTACCACAAAGGTGTCAAAAATTTTCGTTTATTTACAAATTCATCATGCAAATCATACATAAAGAGATAAATAGATAGGTAGATAGGTAGATAGATAGATAGATAGATAGATAGATAGATAGATAGATAGATAGATAGATAGGTAGATAGGTAGATAGGTAGATAGGTAGATAGGTAGATAGGTAGATAGGTAGATAGGTAGATAGAAGATATACCTTTTGACTTAGCTATCCCACTTTTAAGAATCTGTCACAAAAATATGAAATTCTGTATGCATGAGGCCATTTATTATGGCATTATTTTAATAGCAAAAGAGTGGAAGAATCCTAATGTTTATTTGGATAAACTGTGGTAACTTCCTGCAGTGTAGTACCATGACCTATAAAACAGAATGAGGAAGATCTCTATATTATGATGTGGAATGATCTTCAGGATATATTGTTTAAGTAAAAAGAGGAATAGAATAGGGTTTTTTTTTTTGTATAAGAAGGGGTAAAATATAAACACACTACATTTTACTTATATTTTTAAAAAAATTAAGCTAGACCAACTGTACTTTGTCTTACAGTTTTGACTTTGGAACCTAGAAACTATTACAATGAAAAGCAAACACACATACACACACGTGCGTACGCATATGTATGTATTTTTTATATATTTAAACATTTAAAAACTTAAAACAAAAGCATAACCAGTGATGCAACTACAGGAAGAAGAATTCTTTTAGGTCATTACAAATTACAGTATTTTGTTGTACATCACTAGTGGAAAATAGCTTAAGAGTGGACAATTCACAAAGAAATGTTAAACTGTATTCTGTAGTCTCATAATTGGTAGTATTTTTAATATATAGAGAGTAGGATAAAGCAAATAAGTACTTATTTTACTGTCATTAGAAACTGTGATTTCCAGCTTCAGAGAAGAGATATAAAATGGTAGGAATTAAAACCCTGTGATCTTTACTTTGAATCACAAGTATCATTATAAACTCTTATTTTTAACTTCTAAAAATATAAGAGTTTTTTTTCTTTTTTTACCATGATCACATTAAGGCCCCAGAGGTAATTAACAGCGTGCAATCTGGAAGCAGTGATCACTTCTTGATTGTTGTAGACACTATACCAAAAGGATCCAGGGCTTCTAGATAAGAATAGTCTTTGGCATTGTATGCTACAAAAACTCAAAGACTACTAAGGTCATGTCAGAAGGACAACTTGAAGACTCTTACTAGTTTACAAAATGAAATAATGACTGCAATAAATAGAAGTATACCAAACGTATAAAAATCCATGACTTATAATGATACTTTGCTCCAAATTAATAAAAAGCAAACTTCCTTGCTTTATCTTTGGAGGTTGCTAGGACAACAACTCATTTTTCTAAAAATTAGTAAATAAAAAAGAACCATTTCTCCTGCCTCTTATTAGCAAATTGTATTTCAGGGTAACTTAGTGGTTGATGAGTTAAATTCTCTTTAGAACAATTCCAACTAATAAACCCAGAAGAAATAAGAGTAGAAAATCTCCATTTTAGACTCTAATGAAATAATGAATCTAGGTAAAAATCAGCAACATTAAGCTTAATGAAGATGAATTGGGTTAGAACATATTTACCTACTTTTAAAAAAATTATAGTTGACATACAATTTAAATTTTTTATTATTATGACTTACATATTTCGTTGTTAATCCTCATCTGAGGATATTTTTTTCATTGCTTTTCAGAGAGAATAGAAGGGGGGGAGAGAGAGAGAGACAGACATCCATCCATCCATGTAAGAGAGACACATTGACTGGTTGCTTCCTGCACGCGCCCTGATCAGGGAGCGAACCCGCTACCTTTCAGTGCTCAGGACAACACTCTTAACACTGAGCAACACTGGCTGGGGCATGACCTACATTTAAAAAAAATATATGGCTTTATTGATTTTCAGAGAGAGGAAGGGAGAGGGATAGAGAGAAACATCAATGAGAGAGAAACGTCATTGATTGTCTCCTGCACACGCCTACTGGGGATTGAACCACAGCCTGGCATATGCCCTGACTGGGAATCGAACCATGACCACTTGGTTCCTGGGTCAATGCTCAACCACTGAGCCACACCTAACCAGGCATGACCTACATATTTTTAACATCATCAGCCAGACATGCTTTCTGACATGATGTAATAAAATAATCAGGAAGATCTGAACATGTACTCAGTATTAGATGATACTAAGAAACTAATAGTAAAGGGGTTAGTTCATCAAGCGGATGTAACAATTGTACCTATATAGCACCCCATATAGGAACACCTAAATATATTAAGCAATGTTAACAGATTGGAAGGCAGAAATAAACAAATGTAATAATAGTAGTGGACTTCATTACCCTACCTTTTTAATAAGGAGTAGGTCATTTAGACAGAAAATCATTAATGAAATATTGTACTTGAACTACACTTTATATCAAGTAGACCTAACAGACATATACAGAACATTTCATCCAGCAACAGCAGAATACACATTTTTTTCAAGCACACAATGGAACATTTTTGCTGGAGAGATTATATGTTAGGTTATAAAACAAGTCTGAACAAATTTGAGAAGGTTGAAATCATATCAGGTATCCTTTCTAGCCAAAGTGGTATGAAAATAGGAATCAGTAACAGGAAAGCCAGAATATTTCCTATGTATGGAAATTAAAAAGCAGACTCCTGAATAAACAGTGGGTCAAAGAAGAAATAAAAGGGTAATCAAAAACTACCTTGAGAAATGAAAATGGAAACACAACATACCCAAACTTAACGGGATGTGACAAAAGCAGTTCTAAAAGGGAAGTTTTTATTTATAAATATCTACACTAAGAAAAAGAAATATATCAAATGAACCTTCATACCTCAGAGAACTAGAAAAACCCCCACTAAGAGCAAGTTAGCAGAAGGAAGGAAATAAAAATCAGAGCAGAAATAAATGAGAGACTAGAAAAACGTTAGAAAAGATCAATAAAACTAAGAACTTTTTCTAAAAAGGTTAAAAAAGTTAACAAATCTTTAACAGACTAAGAAAAGAAGAGTCAAATCAGAAATGAAGAGATATTACAACTGATACTGCAAAAATGCAAAGAATTAGAGACTACTAGGAATAATTATATGCCAACATTGGATAACCTAGATGAAATGGATAAATTCCTAGAAACATGAACTACCAAGAATGAATTGTGAGGAAAAGAAAATCTGTAATAAAGAGATTGAAGCAGTAGTCAAAACTCCCAAGAAAGAAATGACCAGGACCAGATGGCTTCACTGGTAAATTTCTACCATTAAAAAACAATAAATGCCAATTTTCTCACACTCTTACAAAAAAAAGAAAAGGCAGTAAATCTTCCAGACTCATTTTTTGAGACCAGCATTATCCTGATACTAAAGCCACACAAAGATACAAGAAAAAATATTAGCAAACTAAATTCAGCACATTAAAATATACATATACTGTGATCAACTGGGATTTATTTCTGGAATGCAAGGATGGTTCATTATCTACAAATCAATCAATATGGTAAACCACATAAACAGAATGAAGGATAAAAATCATCATCTCAACAGATGAAGAAAAATAGCTTTATTTGTGCAGTCTGGTTACATATACTTTTATGTTAAGAGTATAACTAGTTTGAGAACTGAAGATACCATTTTAATGGTTTTGTCAAATTTTATAAGTATGTACTTGGGATTCAACAAGAATATAATGACAGTGAAAGGCCAATGCCAAAGTAGTTATTAGTATCTCTCTAATGATGACTTCAACTAAATATAATGATAAGAACATAGTTAAATACTTTAAATATGAGAAAATATTTAGCCATGCACCTGGAACTCTCTTCATTTTTAGACATTTTACCTTAAAAAGTTAGGTATCATCTGTTAAATTGTGACTATAAGTAAAAAATTAATTCCATATAAAGATTAATTTATTTTTCTGAAGATTACTTACTTTCATCAGGCCTTCTAATGATAAAGGTTTTTGCCTTTTTTAGGAAGGTGGAGTGTTTACTTTTGGAGCTGGAGGGTATGGTCAGTTGGGTCATAACTCTACTAGTCATGAAATAAACCCAAGGAAAGTTTTTGAACTTATGGGAAGCATTGTCACTCAGATTGCTTGCGGAAGGTAAGCTGTTATATAAGAGTATTTTGAACTCTACAACACAATTATTTAGGGATGTTCTTTTTTAACAGACCAGAGGTCTTTTATTTTTTTGACACCTGCTAACACCATGAAATTCATAGGAAATAGGTTCCAGCAGCTCAAGCTTCTTTCCATTAGAGGTTCTTACAAAGTGTGAATCTCTGGGCGGGAGCAGGCTGGCGTTTCAATTGAACCCCCCAAATCCTTTTCCTTTGGCATACTTTCTTTTTGATTTTTTCCGTCACATGTTTCAGGAAGCTATCTCAGCTCTTAGAGACTTAATAAGCTCAATACGTACATTCTCTTGCAAGAAGAATCTTGCCCTTGTTTGTTTACAACAGTGTCAACAGCTTGCTGGGTAAACACTGTGAATTCTTCCAGTTTTACCATGGTAACATTTGTGAGTCATTCCTTGTTGAACCCTTCCTTTTGTGCCCTTCCCTTGATGTCTACAGTGTCACCCTTTTTTTGTAGATTTGCATGTACAAAGGAACAACTTTATATTTTCTAAAAGGCCTAGAGAACATGGGGGTGCCTCTTTACCTTTGTGTTAGTTATTTTTGCAAATTAGTGAAAGATGGCAGTTCCAGCTGAAAGGATTTTTTAAAATGAGTTGTTTAGGAATCTAGTAATCTAAGATAAAGGAATTCTCCCCTAAATGCCTAATTTGCTGTTGAGGAGTCATAGTAACAGGAGAAACATCTTTTATACTGACTATTTTCTTTATCTGAGGTAAGATACTAATAATGTATATGTAATACATTTATTATTTACTAATAATGTATATGTAATACCTTTCTTTATCTGAGGTAAGATACTAATAATGTATATGTAATATTGTATTGTCTATAGCAGTACTCTTGAAGGGAAACTGGAGATCCATCTTTTTTGTTTGCTTTCACTTTTTTTTTTTTTTTAAAGAATAAGGGAATTAACCAGTTATTTATTTAATACATAGGATTAGTTAGTGATGAAAGTTGAATTAGAATACAGATCTCCTGATTCCCAGTTGTTGGGAGTAAATAGAAGAGTCAGAGCTTTGAAAGTGAGCTTTACCTTTGGTGGTTTATATTAGATAGACCCCGAAAGGGTAAATGCACTTTGACAAGTTAACTCATTTTGACCATTTAGCTTAACTTTTTTCCACCTAGTATGTATTCTTTTACATTATAGTTTAGTTTTGCCAACTGTTATCTTCAGGTACATGGAATCACACTGTAGGTAGACTTTGGTGACTTTTTTTTTCTTAACATCGTGCGTATATGATTATCCATATGTGTGTAGCTATGGCTTCTCATCATTAGGTTTCATTGCTGTGTTTTATTTAATTATATGCATACATAATTATGTACTCATCCTATTACTAATAGGCATTTGGGTGCTTCCAGTTTTGGGAAATTATAAATAGTGTTGCTTTGAACATTTATTGTATGATAAGTAGACCTTCCTATTTCTAAAGTGTATATACCTAGATAGAATTGCTGGGTTATAGAAAATACTTTACTTGAATTTTGCAAGTTAATGTCGCCTTACTTACCAAAATGGTTATACTAATTTACATTCCGATTAGCATTGTATGAGAATTCGTGACACTCAGTGTCTTTGTCACCATTCAGTATTGTCAGATTTTAAAAAAAATTTTAAATTCTTGCATATGTAGCATTACTTAATCATGATTTTAATTTGCATTTTCATGATTTATAGGGATTGCATTGAATGTGTAGACCACTTTGGGAAGTATTGACATCTTAACAATATTAAGTTTTCCAATCCATGAATATGGGATGTCTTTTAATTTCTTTCAGTAGTATTTGTAGTTTTCTTTGTCTTTTATCTTTTTGCTTAAGTTAATTTTAATTCTTTTTAAATTTTTTATTGATTTTTTTTTTTTTTAAATAGGAGGAGAGAGGGAGAGTTTTACTTTTTTTTAAAAAAATATATCTTTATTGATTTCAGAGAGAGAACAGGAGAGGGAGAGAGAGAGACAGAAACATCAATGATGAGAGAGTCACTGATCGAGCCCACAACCCAGGCATGTGCCCTGACCGGGAATCGAACCCTGATCGCCTGGATCCTAGGTCGACACTCAATGGCTGAGCCACGCCTGGCCGGGCAAGAGGGAGAGTTTTAGAGATGCATCAGTTGTGAGAGTGAAACATGGATTGGCTGCCTCTTGGACGCCCCCTGCTGGGGATTGAACTAGCAATCTTTTGGTGCATGGGGCAATGCTGAGCTAACTGAGCCACTCTGGCCAGGGCTTAAGTTAATTCTTAAGTATTTATTTTTTTTGATAGTGTTATAAATGGCACTTTTCCCTTAATTTTTGGATTGTTGGGTATAGGGTTTAGAAATGCAACTGATTTTTGCATGTTAATTTTGTTTCCTGCTTTGGTGACATTTGTATTAGTTCCAATAGTTTTTTTGTGTGGAATCTTTAAAGTTTTCTACATATGAAATCATATAATTTGTATACAGAGGTAATTTTACTTATCCTTTCTGTTTTAGATGAC